TCAAGTGGTAGAGTGCTAGCCTTGAGCTGAAGAGCTGAGGGACAGCGCCCAGGCCCAGAGTTCAGGCCCCACGACCAGACCCAAAAATAAATAAATAAATAAATAAATAAAAATTTAAAAAGCAGTGTGCTTCCCTGCCCTGCCTCTCTGCAGGGGGCCCAGGTCGCCCCCACTTCCCACATCTCCCGGGACCAGCCCCCTCCAGAGGTGTGACACATGGACCTTGGTTTCTTTTGCCTAGAAGGTGAGATCTCCCAACCAGGAACCTTGTGGGGTGGGGCTTGGTTGTGGCCTGGGCAGGAGACTCAGTCTTTCCTTCATGAGAATCCAGGATGTGGAGTTGGGTCTCTAATAAGGCCAGCCAAGAGCCCACTTTGGGACCAGTTGGGAGCTGATATTGGCAGAAGTCCATGGAATGTGCCATCCGTAACTCTTTCTGCTGACCAGTGTGGTCGGTCTGGTCTAGCCGCATCACAGAGGAGCAGAAGCAACAGGACTGCCAGGTCACGTGACAGCAGGGAGTTGGGCCATGTGCTTCCATTGATGCCAGGGGCAGTGCCCAGAGGCCAAGCCCTTGCTGCAAAACACTGTGAGGAATTCTGCCAGGTTGAAAACGGGCAGGCTGGTCTGCTTCCAGCCCTTTTCCTCAGGTGAAAGTTGGGGTTTTGCAATCCTGTAATTACTATGTTTAGCAGAGATGCAGATTTCTCCCTCTTGGGTAATTCTCAGAAATAGAAACCAATTTTCTTTGGGCTGGATGAACCAAAGACCACAGGGAATACAGGATCATGCCTCGTTCCCAGCCAGGGGTTTTCAGTCCCCCCCCACAAGTGCTTATTTGGGAATGGACCCTTATTTGGCTGTGGTCACTTGGGTAGAGCTGGGGAAGGGAACAGAGTTGGAAAAGAAGGTTCAGGAGGCAAGTTAAGGACATAGCACCCCTCCTATTTTTCCCTTCCCATCTTAGTGAAACAATGGCCCCTGAAGATGTCGCTGTCCTAATCTGTTAGGACCTAGGAACGAATGTTGCCTGATAAAGCTGAAGGGACTTTGAAGATGTGATTGGGATTTAGAGATGAGAGATTGTCCCTAGTCATCTAGCTGTGTGGCCAGTGGAATCCTAAGGAAGGAAGCTGAGTGCCAGTAGCTCATGCCTATGATCCTAGCTACTCAGGGGGCTAAGATCTGGAGGATAGGTAGGAAAGTGGAATATTCCCTCTCCAAAATAACCAGCAAAAAAGCAGGGTTGGATGTGTGGCTCAAGAAGTAGATTGCCAGCCAGGCGCTGGTGGCTCATGCCTGTCATCCTAGCTACTCAGAAGGCTGAGATCTGAGGATCTTGTTTCAAAGGCAGCCCAGACAGAAAGTCTATGAGACTCTTATCTCCAATAAACTACTAGAAAATGGGAAGTGGTGCTGTGGCTCAAGTGGTAGAGCTCTAGTCTTGAGCTGAAGAGCTCAGGGACAGTGCTCAGGCCCAGAGTTCAAGCCCCATGACTAAAAACAAAAACAAAAAACAAGTAATAGATTGCCAGTTTAGCAAGCTGAAAGCTGTGAGTTCAAGTGCCAGTACACTTAAAAGGGAAAGGGAGAGAGCCAGTGTTAGAGAAGGAGATGTGACAACTTAATTAGAAAGTAAGACTTGAAGATAAGATTTGGAGAAATAAGATGTGAAGATGCTAGATTAGAGACAAGGAATGGGACCCTGAACTAAGGTGGCCTCTAGAAGGTAGAAAAGGTAAGAATTCTATAGCCACTCAGGTCTTTGGTAGATTGCTCTCTAGAAATATAGGTTATTACGTCTGTCATGCTAAGTTTGTGCAGCAGTAGGTAGCTAAATAACCATCCAACAAATCAGCTTTGCTCTTC